GACAAATAAATAGAATAAGTAATAAGAATAAGTAGACAAACTCTTGAAGACGATAATTACTGAATACGTGTGACTAATATATGTGCGCAAGATGTTTACATAATATCATTAGATTTATAAATGTTAATAAAATTTAGTTCGCCTTTTTATTATTGTGTTTTGAAAAAAAATCTACAATTAGACAAGAAAATAGTTGTTGCTTATTTATTTATAAATCGTGACGAGAGAATATACAATATTCTAGTATATAGAAAAGCAGCACCAGCAGGTAATGTTTATTTCCAATAACACATATGCTGGGCGTGTGCAAACATTATCGAATATATCGTCTTTGTTTTTCTTTTTTGATTAAAAAATTTAGCAAGAAAATACTTATCAAAGAAGTTCATTTTAAAATAATAAACCGAAAACTTTTCAAATAACATACCTAATGTTGGCTATTTACTAATCGAATACTGCCGTCGTCTTTTTTTTTTATTTTACTCGGTATTATTGTCACTTCAATCGAATACATACAGAAAAGAGCGATATCTCTCTTCCTCTGTATTCTCTCTTTCTCATTTTTTATTCTTTACCAATTCAACAAGATTTTTATAGAAATATCCACTTTTTTTTTCTTCTCTCTGTTTGATAAAGCTTTGTGTAAATTGTTCTCTCTTGCTCTCTTTGTGCTGATGCTGTTTGAAAAAGGCAGATGGCGTCTCTCCTGTGTGTGCTTATGCGTGTTTACTCCCTCTTTCTCCTTCATCGTCGTCGTCATTTAAATATTTTGGGTTAAGAACATGAATGATGAAGAGAAGTGTAATCCGTTGATGACGACTATGATCAAATTTCGAATGTGTAAGAGCGCACGCGCATATTCCGTAAATCCTCACTTTCTGTTTATTTTTATCAAAAGTTTGTTGTGCCAATAATTACTTTTATCAAACGAATGAAGAACGAGAAAAAGCATGAGTGAGTTATTTGAGAACTTGTCATCCGTTGCGCGTGCACATACAATCGTTCTGTTAGTTAAAATTTATATTGGACGATAAGAGAAAAAGAAAAGAGAGTACTATGATTTAATTTAATTGATAAGAGAAAAAAAAAAAAAAATTTTTTTTCTTTTTTTTTCTTCTTTTATCACAATCGATCATAAAATAAATAGTTTTGAAAGATAATATATGTAATATACTTACCTAATAAATAGCCCTAATTCATCTCATTACAACACATCAATTTTAAATGCAAGCAAATGAATGATGTCGTCGGGTGACGTGTCTATACATTGACATTATATTAGAGCCTTGCTTGCTCTTTCTCTATTTGCAAAGAAAAGACTCAAACATACACACATACAAAATCAAACAATTCATTCTCTTTTTTTTTTTAAAAATAAAAAAAAAGAAGAGATCAGATGATCACTATCACAACCATTTGAACTTGTTATAAGCATATGTGATGTCATTCAATGCACATACGTATATTATATATATATATATATAAGCGACTGACACAATAAAATACTTTTTCGATTGCAATATATATTGTTATCAGTATAGAGTATAACAACGCAGCGTTTTTCCTGTTTACTTGTATAGCCACCCTATCGTCTGTAAATAATAGGGGCGGCAAAGACTATGGATGTAAAAGAAGACACATCAAATCGAACGACAAAAAAAAACGAGAAAGTGTACATATGGCGATAAAAAACTAAAGTGGATGAAAGAGAGACGAAAGAAATAAAAAACCAAACAAAAGAGAAAAAAAAGAGACAGAAAGAGGCGTTGAAGAGTAATGAAACGAATGTCGAACATTTGCAATTATGATTATGTCCACAATTGATCAATACCTTTCGTAATGTTAGTTTTTCTTTAATAGAATCTAATAATTAAAATCCTTAGACGAACAAACATTGTGTTTTTTTTTTGAATGGCTATTGAATTATTTCACGAAAACATATCATTTTTACTCTATAGTGATGTTGACATATTTCAAAAAACGTATTGATGAGTTGAATTTAATTGAAACGAAAAGATTAGTATGATTAAATATACTCGTTGAATATGACTGAATCTATCAGTATAGATCTACAAAAAATTTTGAAATTTGATTCTGAAAATATAGGAATTCAATGACAAGAATTTACTTGATCTTAAGTGTATTTTCAGCTAAAATTAACTAACACGTTTAGTTGTTGTTGAAGTTTTTATTATTGTGTTATTTTGGGTAATATTGCTGAATTTGTGTTTACAATTCTTATTTTTTAATAAAAGGTTTAATTGATGTTGTTAAAGCATCGATTTAAAATGCTTTAAATAAGTGATGTTTATATTAGTGTTGATTTAACTTAGTTTTTTGACTGTTTACATTTTAAAAAGCAAATACTTGATGAAAGATTAACTGATGTTTAAAGGCTGCTTTACTCATTTAGCTTACGATTGTGATATTATCTAAGGAGACAAAAAAAACGAAAAAATTTTTTTCTGAACAAAAAGAATGATTTTTTTTTCCTATGTTCAACAGTCTTAAAGAATTCTTTACGATCGAGTTTGATGATTCGAACAATACAGTTTCATTTTTCTGATGTCAGTACATTTATTCTTTTTCTTTTTCTTCTACTGGGCATTGTTAATATTATATTTGCTTGACAAAATATATTCATCTTTATATTCTGTTGATATAAATTGTTACGAAACCTGTTGAACATGTTGTTTTATCTTTGATGGTTCTTGATCGCATACCAATTACATCAATAAAAAGAATGAACAAACTAAATATAAACAGACGAAAAGCTATTCAAATATATATATATATTCATCTATCAAAAACGTGAGCAATATTTATTTAGTGAAGTTTCTCGTTGATCAACTTTTCATTTGTAAGTTAAGCTCATGAATAGTAACCACTTGATTAATGTATATGTCTATGTTGGTTTCTTGTTAAAATAATTTTGATTGAGTATTTAATAAATTACATATTCGTTTAAGTTTTTGTAATCGAAATTGTTTTCTTACTTGCTTATACTATTCTTGATTTCGTTATCTACATATTGAGAAATTCAATGGAGCTGACCAGTAGGATTCGCCGGTTTCGGGTAACCTTTGAAAGCGCCGAACTCGACTGACGAGGAAACCTTTCTCTAAGTTGAAAATCGTTTTTGAGTTGGAACTTTGTACATAAGTTAGATTTCAATGACATATTAAAAACTCCAAAAGGATAAGAATATCTCGGTTTTTTCTACAGAGTTATAGCTGTTTTACTGAAATTTCAGTCTATGCCACGGTATGTATAAAAGAATTGCATTATAATAATTGACCTGGAGTTTCGTCCATAGGTAGGACAAATTTTTCAATAATATGTCCGAAAAATTTCAGCTTAAAAAGATGTTCCCTTCGTGAGATATTCAATCCCTCAAAATCACTCATATTCAACGAAAGAGTAGAAGATTTCATATTTTTTGGGAATTCAATGTGTCATGAAGATGAAATTTTTTCGAGCCGAAAATTTCACTGGATTTTGATTACAAGTAGATCTATCTTTGGGCGACATTTCAGTAGAACTGATATAACTCTGCAAGGAAGGCCTAGATACTTTTATCCTTGTGGAGTTGTTCATAATTCCACTGGGATCTACCTGATGTAGAAAGTCCGAACTCAAAAGCAATTTCCAAGTTGGAAAGGCTATGTCGTGAAGTATATAAGAGAAAATCGAATCGGATTCGATTTTTTGCTAAAAAAAGAGCTAAGTTAAAGGGTTACATATTACACTATCGATTTCACCGTATGTAGAATAGTATCATTGCTTTACAGCACTTAGGAGCTTTAATAAGATGAAGTTTTTTTGTCTCATAAAATTTGTTATATATATTAATTGATTTTAACTTTTGTTTTGTTAAAAATGTAACTGTAGAAGTCATTCAATATTCAAGATTCAAAATATTGTATTTTATTGTCTTGACTCCTTTATTATGAGCAGCATCCATCAATTCCTGTCGCATTATGTGAAACATGATCTTTTTTCTGTATACACAATCTAAGTGCAAAACAAAGGTTTCGATATTGCCTGAAATTAGTGTATACTTTACATGTTTAGAAGTATAGTCTACATGAAATTCTTGAAACCGGTACATATCTATACAAAAAAGTACCATATTCTCAACATTGAGAACTATGAAACTTTCAATTTTTTCTTCATAGTAGTTGTAACCAATTCTCAATGCTCTCTCAGAAACAATTGTAAGCTTTCATCGAATACAAAACACAAGTCTTTTCAGTAGTTGGCATTGACTCGAAAAATGAAAAATCTCACGAGGAAATCTCTCAACATGTCAAATCGCTTTTCGACTGAGATCATGTTTACGTTCTTGGCTAAAGATTCGAAAAAAAGTTTGAATTCCTCATTTTCATAGTTGATTTCTTTGCTTGATTGTTTTTGTATCAATTTGATACCTATGTATTACATTTCTCTATTTCTTAAATCTAATTAAATCTTATTTTCTATTTGCTGAAAAGTAAAAATTTCGTTGTTTTGCGATGATACCTTAAACATGAGAAAATTTCTTTTGTATAAAGTTGGAAGTTGAAATTCGATTTTTCAAGTGACCTAAGGAGACCGCAGTTTTTTTGTTGAAAAAGCCATCTTGAAAACGAAGCTCCAGAAAATCAAACCATTCTAGACTTTTCTAATAGTCATCAGTACTCATCAAATAGACATTGTCTCAGTCGATATCGAAACTTGTGTTTTGTGTTCCATGAATTTTGACCACAGTTTTTGTATAGATTTAAAAAAAACTGAGTAAAGCTCATATACCCCAGGAATTGGTAGATGTCTATTGTGTGATATTATAATACTTTAGCCATCATTTGCAAATCAATCCTTTTTGATACACTTCATAAAACTGACTTCTCGTAATTCAAATAATACTATACTGATTGATAATTCATATATATCAAATGAAAGGTAACCAATTATTATTAACTTATGAAATAATTACAACTGATAAGTTTTTATGTTTCTTTTTAAAATTCGACATATTCAAGATCATTAAGTGCAATTAATGGTTGTTCATTGTTTGACAATGATAATGCTTGTGATTTTTTTTGCTGAAGCGGAGAAGAAATACAATCGAAAAATTCATCGCCGTTTTTGTTTGATTCATCAAATAAATCCTTATTATTATTTTCATCTTCATCGGATTCGATATCATAAAGATTTGCTTGTTTGATTTTATCTTCAAGAGTTAAACTAACTGAAACTAGTAATTTAACTGGTAATGTGAAATCAATTGAGTGACGTTTGAGAGACGCTGTTGATAAAGATGATTTTGAATCTGGTACAAAATCCCAAAATGGTATATGAGAACCAAAAAAATCTTCGGCTTCTTTATGAAGATCAATAAATGTCGTAGAATCGAAACGTGAATCAACAGGACGATTATTTTCATCTTTTTCTCTATTTTTGTAAGTATACCGCATTCGACGTTGAATAAATGGTGTAGATATTAAATGTTTTTCTTTTTTTTTAACATCTTCCTGAAAAAGAAATAGATTTACAATTTCTGAATATTAACAAAAAAAACTGATTTCTGTAAAAGAATAAGAATAAGTGATGTTGAATAGATCGTATTTAACTATCATGCATCTTTTAGAATGTCTGAAGAGTCAAGTCATTCTGAAATCTTGAAGAAGTTTAATGTTTTTCAGTCATGTGACTTTAGAATCACTATTTATAGCACAGAAACTCAAAACCTACTGTTTATATTTTAATTAGATAATAGTTGCAAGCAAACACTTACTAAGCTTTTTGCTTCATAAAAATAATTTAAAACTTCTAGCTCATTCGGTCATGAAATGGCAACAATATATAATGTTCTTTCTTTTTCATTCATGATGTTCCGGATATCCTAAATTTCAGAATACTTTACTTAATTCTATAGAATTCTCATCTCAATCATTCATCAACCATCTAAAATTTCAAAATTGTTTTCTTGTTGTTTTTCTTTAACTGTACTCATAGTATTTTTATTGTTACATTGTAACAAATTTAGACTTCATATGTTAGGAAATGAATAGAAATACATTATATTATAGATTCATAAATAAACTTCAAGAAGAAAAACACCATAGAGACATTCTTATTAACAACCCTGCATAGAAGAAAGTATATATGTCAGTAGAAAAAAAAAGATTTTCAGTGTTGAGATCGAAAAGTTTGACTTCATAGGGTTCTAATGAATATTCATTTCTACATTTAAAAAAAAATGATATTTTAGCCTAAATAACTAAATAGATGTGTGTATTGTAATCGATGATTTTTCTTCCAAGCTTTTTTATATTTGTGAAATATAATATTTTATTGGTCGAAGTCTATTCTCAATACATTTTTGTTCATGATATGTGTAGTAATTCATGAATTGATAAAAATTATCATAAATCAATTTTGATTATAGAAAGTTTTTACAATGTAATAGAAACTATTTCAAGTATAAGTAGATGATCTAGCTATGTTTAATATTGATGAAAAGGAACAAAAGAAATTTTATGTATTCTATCTGATTTCAATATTATCATTAGCAATGATAGATTGAGAATTTCTGTTGACAGAGACAAGCACGGTCACGAAACGTGGATGCTAGGGCCATTCATTACATAGCATATTAGTCTTAGCGGTTTTCTAAAGAAGCATTGAAGGTGGGTGGTTCTAATTGTGTACGTGAGGATACACAAAGAATCGTTATTCACATGCACATTCTTTCCGCTTCTCAGTTCACCACTAATCACTATTCATCTATTACCATTATATATATACTATTTCTCTTCATAAATCTTGGCACGAGTTGATGGCCCGTTTGAAAGTCAGATACTTTTGTACTATTTTGTATGTTCATAAATTCGTAGCTGAAGTCTTAAAAGGGTTTATGAAAGATTGCATTGCGCTCATAAATCTAAAAATGGTTTATGTAATAGTAATAAACGGATATTGAGGGTTTATTATTCTACACTTCGTTTTTTTTTTCTTACAGTGTAATTATATTCTGAAGTGGTATCATCTGAATTTGTTCTATATAATTAGTTTTGTTGAATCTAAAGAAAAATAAAGAATAAATCTTACAGTTCGTTGTAAATTTTTTCGATGACCTTGTGTTTGTGATTGTTTAGTTGAATTGATTGCTTTCATATTGTCAATAGTTTGATCAGTATTTTCTTCATGAGCATCCGTTGGCGAATCGATAAGATTATATTCAGCTATTTCTTTACGAGCTTTAAGTAAATTTTTTTTTAAACGAGTTTGATAATTTTCTATATCCATTGAAGATAATTCTTTATTTGGTTTTGTTAATTGGTGGGTAGATAAACCATCTTTAAGTTTATCTAAATCATGTCGTATTTTGATTATACGACGTTGAGTTTTATAGCGAATTTTTCGATATTGAAGTGGTTTATGTTGTATAAGAAGATTTTTCGATTGAACTTGTTGTTCAGAATGAATTAGATCTAAATTATCTTCTTGTATTATATCTTTATATGGATAAGGAAATTTTTCCTTATCATTAATCACAGCCTCTAGTTGATCGAACAAATGTACCATTTTTTTCATTTTTACTTTTTTCTGTTGACGTTCACAGAATGATAGATCAGATGTAGTCTCGATATTTTCGGATATATTCGATGAAGAATCATCTGGTATTTCATCATCGGTTTGATGAAAGCCAACAACAATTTCATTCATATCTTGTTTCATTTGAAGTAATGTTTTAGTTAAAAATTCATTCCAATTATCGATATTAATATCCGGCTTATTTTTGTGTGATCGATGGAATTTATTTTTAAATGATGAACGTATTCCATGACATGTTTCTGTTGATTTCTTCATATTATTATTCGTATTATTTATATGAATCATTGTTGTATGTTGAGATGGAATAATGCTAAAAAATTCTGCTTCATTATTTTCTAATTTGAGAGTAGTTACAATTTGTTTATCTTGAAGATTAGAACTAGAACTTTCTGTTGATGAAAGTTTTGTATCATTATCACAATCTGAATGATCACTTGCACTCAAATTAGTTGATGTAGAACTTGAATTTGGCGATATTGTTTGATTCAATTGTGTACTTGATTGAGTCGTGTCATGTTTTTCAAAATTTGAAGTTTGAGAAGAATGATTTGGTGTAATTAGATGATCATTTTTTTTTGTTAAAGGAGGTAAAAGAGGTATATTAGTAAGTAAAAACGATGTAGACATCGTTTATTATGTAGTTAGAAGAAAAAAGAACACAACGAAAAGAACATTTGTGATACATGTCATCAGTTACATTTATACATTTTCATATTTTCATGGTTCATTTATTTCGAAGAGCGACTTTTCTTCTTTCTTTAACTTTTTTTTTCTTACTATACTGTGTTTATATGATATGTATGCAGGCAATAGTGTTATAAATATAATAACCATGTGGATAATATAACACTTGCTGATTTATTTTCATTTTGAAAATAATATTACTCCTTTTGATTGACGGCAAGCATTTTATGAATAGGGTTTTATGTTATGTATTTCTAGTAGGTTTTATTAGAAAAGAAGAAAATAATTTATGACAGAATTGGCAACCTTTGAATCAATTACACTTCATAACCTCTCATTTGGATTTCTTTTCAATTAAATCATTTTTTAGTGCATTCATTATTCATTAAATTAAAAGAAAATCATAGGTCTTCATGATTTGTCCAATGATTATTGTTAAGACACATATTGAATATGTAAAGTGAAGAACAAGTAACATGCAAACCACAAGTAGTATCGTCAGTACACCGAAGTCGTAAAAACAAACTATTTATTTGTTTTTTCATTATAAATATTTTATATTAAAAATAATGATGAACCATTGTAATCGATAATATTAGAACTGAACTGAGGGATTATCGAATGAGACCGAAACGAGAAGAGTCGGTTTGGGGGTCAACAGGAAAAAATATCTTCAATTTCGTGTGTCTTTTATTTAAAACTTAAGTTTCTTTTCAATCCTTCTATATAATCAAGATAGTCGTTGATGAATGATTATTTACTGTTGAAATATAATTTATCTTTATAGTATTAGTAAAAATCGATTGCTGTGTTGTTAGACACTTTATAATTATCTATTACCAATTAAACTCTAATCTATGTGATGCATTAAGTATATTTTCATATTGTTACTAATTTAGTTTATCATCTGTAGCTGATCCATGATGATATTACTCAATCATTTCTATTCCATTTCAGGTAAATACGTGATTCCTTCCTTCACACAGAATAATAGTTTACTGAGCTTCCAGTTTGTTTGAAAAGTCAAAAGTTTGAAGGTAGACTCTTATTGCGATCAACTTTTTTTTGTGTTGTAGTGATGATTTGATTAGCTAACAAGCACAGAAGTATACAAGATTCTACAAATAAGAATTTTCAAACTGTTTGAGAACTCATATATGAGCTTTGATAGTCAATGATGAAGCAAAAATTTACTTCTATACTTTTCCAGTTTCTGTGTATCAGATAATCGAAATGATGTATTCGTTTACAATATTCTTCTCGTTCACACATTCATGTGTCATGAACACTTCGTGGGTCTTAATATAGATACGCTAAACTGTGCGTATTGCAACACTTTCGTACATCCTGACTTTGACTTTGAGAAATTATCGAACTTTGAAGGAGTTGAGAAATAAAACTTCTACATGAATCTGCCAACTAACGCCAATTTCGAAGTTTGTTTACAGTTCAGAAATGCAAGAAGAGATATTTCAATTATGTTAAGAGAAGTATAGAGTGCATCTTTGTAAGATGTCTCATTTTTCAGTCAATGATTTGCCATCTTGTTAATTATTCGCTATGTGTTGTGACTAATTATTTCGTCATCAGTACCGCTCTAGACAACCGAGTAAGAAGGTCTTCAATTGGTAATGCTAATATATTTTTTTAGTAACTTCTCTACAATGTGATTAGTATTTCTGTAAGATTTTGACGAGCAAAACCTTCTTTTATATTTATAATCTTGTTTGTAATTCTCTTAATCTTAACAACGATCCATTAACGAAATGTATACGGCATCTGTCGAGAATCAGACTAATGATTGCTATAAAAAATAATTATGAGTAAAAAAAAAGATGAATGAATTATTTCTTCAGAACAAAATGTTACTTAACACTATGCAAACAGTTCTCTAAGGGTATTCTTTCTACTAATATGTCAAGAACTTTCTTTTTGCATTCTATACAAAATAAATTCTATGAATATAAAAAAAAAGCAATTTTGATAATAAATAAGCATATTTTATAACGAAATAATTGCCAGCAATTCATTCACATATATATATTTAACGTGTAATAATAAAATCAAGGTGTTGAATATTTTATAAAATGTCATTTGAACAAGAAGCTATTAATGTTATTCCTTCAGATATTAATATCAATAATATATCCGATGGATTTAATAATCCAACACAAATATATCATATGTTAGACAAAAATAATGATGGACGTATAACAAAAGAAGATTTACAATTATTATTAGAACAATATGGTATTAATGGTATGGCTGCTAATATTCTATCGAAATATATTTTTCAACAATTAGATAGTAATAATAATGGTATAATTGAAACAAGTGATCTTCTTAATGTTGGTAATATCCTTTGGGATCTATTGCAAAAGAAGCAAACTAGTGTTGGTTATTGATGATAATGTAAACACTTTTATTCACAATAAATGACTTTATTCTATTTTATCTTTTTCCGTATTTTATAATATTGTGTGCATTAAAAAGAGGCTTTTTAAGAAATAAAGTTATTTACAAACAAAACTTTCACACATTGTTGTTCAAGTATATTCTTATATATTTCATCCTGAAATTGTTTCATATAGTGAACAACATATGTTTAATATTTTTGTTCATTTGCCATTAGAAGACCCATCTGGACTATTAGATAATCGGTCTAATAATTATAGTACATTATTGTTGATGAATTGTTTAGTAATATTGCTGATGTGTTTGGAATTGTTATGATCGTACTTAAACGCTAATGTTGATGAAATTGTTCTGAATCAAAAGAATAAATCGTAAGGTTGCATTTTTTTCTTTTATTATTTACGACTAGCAGCATGAGGACGATAATTTCCAAACATATCAATATAATATGGACTATCTAGACTGCCTCTAAACATGTGACAGATGAACACATATTTCACACTATCAGCACCCTTCACATGAATATTGTTACGAAAAGGTTTAAATGAAGACTTGCTCATTGTGTACGTCGCTTTTTTTCTTCAGTTGTTAAAATATAAATACTTTTTGATAGAAAATTCCTATAATCATATTCATGAAGATGATGACATATTGCCGACGTAGATACTGATGAATGATGCGTTCTCGATAAACTTTCTTTTTATTTCATTACGAATTATTTAATTGTCACCTCGAATACAGTGACTAATAGGTTTTTTTTCCTATTCCCTTAGGACTGCATAGTCGAGCATTTCCGTCTCAATGCTTAAATAAATTTGTTTAATTCAATTTGTTGATGTTGTAATAGATTGTTCTCAGACATATATTTGTTTCACGACGGATAAACACAAGCAGATCGTATGCCTTTGTTTCAATAGTATAATAGTGATATATGATGACTTCATAAATCACTAGTTGATGTCATGATTAGATTTGAATATATTTAACGAAAAGAAAAGATATTATATTTCTGTATGATCAACATAGAGTATAGTTATCGACAACTTATATGTAGAAAAATGAATTTTGTAATTACTTCTAATGATAAGAAAAGCCTTGCAAAAGAAAAAAAGATTTTAATTTTATGGCAAGATTTTTGCAAACAACTGTATATCATAGTAACAACTTAATTTATTGCGAATAAAGAAAAAGAAATAATTGATAAAGCTCATTAGAATAAATAAGAAAAATGAGACGAATTTCACAATTGATATCTGTAGATTACCATATGAATGCTGTCTATGTGTTATCACATGCAAAAAAACAAAAGTGCTTTTGTTTTTATAGTTTATCTGCTCAAAGCATTAGCTCTCTGTATTAGACCAGTAATATTAAAACTAATGTCCTTCGATATGAGTCAAGATTGATCATGTACTACACGCAAAAACGACTAACATTTGTACTACGCATTTCATCTTTTTTCAATAGACAGACATATTCGAAACATGTTTCATCGAAGTTTCACTCATTTTTTAGTTAAAAAATTGTAGAAAAATGCAATTTATTCTTCTAAAGAATGAAATACGAGTTTTTAATCATAGTATGTCCTTTTATTTTTGTGTATATGGTAATTCTGTATATATCGTGAGAGTCGAGAAGTGATATCCTTCAGAATATTGAATAGACTACAATAGATGAGTGTCAATCTTTTTTGTATCCTAACTGACACTTTCGGCCGCGCATCTATATCCAAACACCCACCCTCATTCATACACTCTTATACACTCACATTCCCAATCAGATTAGAATTTTCGAAAACGTCTTTAGCCGTTCAATCGTGGTTTCAATTTAAGCATTTTCATGTCCACTCTCGAGAGCAGGTTTTGTCAATATGTTCTAGACATTATTCTAGTAAAAGTCTTGAGAAATATTGAGTTGATGAAGCCACTTTCCAAAGTTCAGACTATTTTGAGTGGGTTTTCAATCTAGCGCAAAGTATCCACAACAATGTTTAAAAGCAAAATTTCAGTCTGCAATTTTGCTTTTCAACATTTCCGTAAATACCTGTAGAATCATTATAACTTTTGAAAGAATCCACATTAGTTCAAATTCTCCTTGAATGTTTCCTAGAATAATATCCCTGACCTATAGACACAATAACATTGGAAAAAGCTTGAAGCAATTAAGAGCCTATTCTCGTCAGAAAAAAAAACACATCAGTTACATTAATCATAAAAGACTTGTGAATACATTTTAAAAGCTAATTTTTTCTGCAATAGTTTGACATATTTTGCAGATAAAAATGACTTTTTGTTTTTAGGCGTGATTTATATCAAAACTATTGTAGGAAAGCATTTTGAACGTTTTCTAAATTCATAATTTGCCTTTTCAAATATCTTCGTTTTCAGAACTTCTTTCCTATGTGGAGATTTGGATGTGAGTGGATTACGATGTCGGTGAGGGTACAAAAAAACATCTATACACCTACGATGCATTGTCTGGTCATGGAATTCATTCTGAATATCAAATAAACTATACACTATCATCATAAAGCTGCATTTTATTACAAACAACATTTTAATTTCATTTGTTTTTTAATTATGTCGAACTATGGATAGTTCCAAGAATTGATATTTTCGCACAAATACTTGCACATTTTATCTCGATCAATGAAATGAATCATGAACATTGTATATTATTTGAAACAAAACAAAAAAAAAAAATAAAAGAAAAGAAAAAAAAAAGACATTAGCTGTTCACTTTTATTGCAGTTCAAAATCCAACACATATTTCGAATCAAATAAATATATATATATATTTCTATCAATATATTCTGTGTGTCTATGACTCTCTTTCACTTGCTTCACATACTTAACAACATTCAAAGAAGAGAGAGAGAGAGAAAGAACAAAGAACGAGAACAAAAAAAAAAAGATGAAAATGGGAAACAACAGTAAAAATAAAATTATTACCGCAGTAGCTGCGTGCATACGCACAAAAGGAAAAGTTTATACGCATATTCATATTGTGCATGTATGTCATCCATCAATAAAAACAGATAAATTAAATTATTTTTTTTTTTGTTTTCTCAATCATAATAACCAATAGCCAGAGGCCAACTAACAACATTTAACAGTGCCAAGAACAACAGATAAAACAAAAGATATAAGCCCATATGTAGGGAAAGAAGAATAGATATAAAAAAAAAAGAAAGAATGAAGAAAAACATTTTTTTTTTCTGAAATGATTTCACTGTTATTTTTTTATTCCTGGAAAAGAAGACGAAGAAGAAGAAGGAGAAAAAGTATTATCGACTGCTATTGATGCATCATTATTATACCTTGAATAGATAACATTGGCAAATATAGCAATAAATATAGCTAATAAAGCAAAACCAACTGATATAACAAATGCCCATTGTTGATCAGTTAATGTTCGATTTTCTAATAAATTTATTGATTTAAATTTTCGATAAATTGTTAAACGATATCGATTAATAAATGATAGTTGTTGTTCACGATTATCATGATGTACTAAACGATTATCTAATGATTTTGATGCTGATAATGCTGCAGCTAAATCTTCTGGTCGTGGTAAAACAAAATGTGTTGCAGGACTAAATGGACTATATAATGATAAACCTTCAATTGTTGTTCGAATAGCACAAACACGTGCACGATAATCAACACCGGATTCTAAATTTGTTGCTCGATATGATGTTAATTCACCATTATAAATTTCTGTATAATCATTTTCTTTTCTATAGATTTGTATTTGTAATATATAACTTATTGTATCTCTAGCAAGAGGTTTATGAGCTGGCCAATTGAATACACATGAAGTAGATGTTATTTCTGTTATATTTGGAGCTAGAAAAAACGAAACATATAAATATAATTATCGAATATGAAAAGAATTAAGGTATATAGACTAAAAAATTTCAAGCTCTATATAGTAATTTAGATTATTACTTTTAACATTGAGATATCTTCATTAGAAACTAATCTAGCTTTTGAACTTTATAGAATGAAACTTGATTTCATTTGGACCTTGAAACAAGATGTACTCATACAAAAAAAAATCAAACGAACCACGAAATACAGAGGATGTAGAAATAGATACTATGCGCTTTTGAAAACTTCAATTCATAATTGTTTTTTTGATGAATCCGTAGATAAAGAAATATCAACGGCAAAAAAATAAAATTTCCATATATTTTGAAGGAGACACAATTTTGTGCAATTTATAGATCTTAGTAAGTTATAAATACTCAGGAAAGAGTTCAATGCTCTTAGTTTAGCACTATAGAGATATTGCATTGTGGCGTTATTATTTAAGTCAATGATCGAGATTTTCTTTAAAAATACTAAGAAAACTGATTCTTGAGTTTTGACTACAGAATTTTTCATAGATACATTTATATTGCTCCTATATACGGACAGATTCAATCAAATTAAATGATCAGAAACTATTACAATGAACTAATGTCGTTAAGGCTTTTCTCTATAGAAGATTTCAAGTTACAATTCGAAAATCAGCTATTCTCGGACTCTTTTCCAGGTATTTATAGCTCATTAAAATCTGCATGAGGCATATAGTTCTGACTCTAAAACGATTAACCGACTGAGAAATTTCCCTTATTAGCAAAAATAATTGTCAATTATAGACAATACTAATCATAGTTTGTAAAAATTTTCCATTATGATTTTCTATCTTCTCTAGCATATGCTTTCCTATGTAATTCCCTCTGTAGTTCTATTCATTGTGTAATGATAGACTATGACAAATAAAAATGTTTTCTCTAGATTTGAACTTTCTCAATACTAAAATCAACAGATGATTTTCTTTTTAAATTCTAACCTTTTAAAGCATTTGGTGGTGCTTTTGTTGTTGTAAATGTATAAATTTCTGACCATGGACCAGGACCAGTATCATTTTTTGCACATATACGAAAATGATAGGATGTATTTTCTTGTAATTTATTTATTTTATGTGAAGATGTATTTCCAGT